CTGTAAAGGCGCATCACAGGCCTGGTGGAAAATAGGACACGTTTGGCGCTATAAAAGAGCATCACAGGCCTGTTTGAAAAAATCAAGTGCAAAGAGTGCGATACCCCGACATCGATACGCTCATCACTTATAGCAGTACTTGTAGCCAGGTTAGCTCACCATGGACATACAACAAACTGACATTAATATTAATATCGGTGTATATTTTTACGTTTCGACTACTCTTGGTGTATAGACACCCAAAGAAAAAATGTGAGCCTATTGCCAGAGGGGGAAACTGGTGCCCTTGTGTGGGATGATTGGGGTGGGGGGAGGCTTGGCCTGGGATTTTGTATCGAGATTAGATATTTGTGACAGCTACAGCTACAAAACCAGATATTTCACCAGATATATCACAGGCCTGGCGGAAAACGGGACTCGTAGGGCGCTATAAAGGAGCATCACAGGCCTGGCGGTAAAATAGGACTCGTAGGGCGCTATAAAGGAGCATCACAGGCCTGGCGGTAAAATAGGACTCGTAGGGCGCTATAAAGGAGCATCACAGGCCTGGTGGTGAAATAGGACTCGTAGGGCGCTGTAAAGGAGCATCACAGGGCTGGCCGAGAACAGGACGTTAAATGGGTGTACAGATATATAGTATAGTGTCGTTATATAGGTGTACACATACTTGTGTTAGTGTGGCTACATGGGTGTACACATACTTGTGTTAGAGCCGTTACATAGGTGTACACATACTTGTGTTAGTGTCGTTACATAGGTGTACACATACTTGTGTTAGTATCGTTACATAGGTGTACACATACTTGTGTTAGTGTCGTTACATAGGTGTACACATACTTGTGTTAGTGTCGTTACATAGGTGTACACATACTTGTGTTAGTATCGTTACATAGGTGTACACATACTTGTGTTAGTGTCGTTACATAGGTGTACACATACTTGTGTTAGTGTCGTTACATAGGTGTACACATACTTGTGTTAGTGTCGTTACATAGGTGTACACATACTTGTGTTAGTGTCGTTACATGGGTGTACACATACTTGTGTTAGTATCGTTACATAGGTGTACACATACTTGTGTTAGTGTCGTTACATAGGTGTACACATACTTGTGTTAGTGTCGTTACATGGGTGTACACATACTTGTGTTAGTATCGTTACATAGGTGTACACATACTTGTGTTACTGTCGTTACATAGGTGTACACATACTTGTGTTAGTATCGTTACATAGGTGTACACATACTTGTGTTAGTGTCGTTACATAGGTGTACACATACTTGTGTTAGTATCGTTACATAGGTGTACACATACTTGTGTTAGTGTCGTTACATGGGTGTACACATACTTGTGTTAGTGTCGTTACATGGGTGTACACATACTTGTGTTAGTGTCGTTACATAGGTGTACACATACTTGTGTTAGTGTCGTTACATAGGTGTACACATACTTGTGTTAGTGTCGTTACATAGGTGTACACATACTTGTGTTAGTGTCGTTACATGGGTGTACACATACTTGTGTTAGTGTCGTTACATAGGTGTACACATACTTGTGTTAGTGTCGTTACATAGGTGTACACATACTTGTGTTAGTATCGTTACATAGGTGTACACATACTTGTGTTAGTATCGTTACATAGGTGTACACATACTTGTGTTAGTGTCGTTACATAGGTGTACACATATTTGTGTTACTGTCGTTACATAGGTGTACACATACTTGTGTTAGTATCGTTACATAGGTGTACACATACTTGTGTTAGTGTCGTTACATAGGTGTACACATACTTGTGTTAGTATCGTTACATAGGTGTACACATACTTGTGTTAGTGTCGTTACATGGGTGTACACATACTTGTGTTAGTGTCGTTACATGGGTGTACACATACTTGTGTTAGTGTCGTTACATAGGTGTACACATACTTGTGTTAGTGTCGTTACATAGGTGTACACATACTTGTGTTAGTGTCGTTACATGGGTGTACACATACTTGTGTTAGTGTCGTTACATAGGTGTACACATACTTGTGTTAGTGTCGTTACGTAGGTGTACACATACTTGTGTTAGTATCGTTACATAGGTGTACACATACTTGTGTTAGTATCGTTACATAGGTGTACACATACTTGTGTTAGTGTCGTTACATAGGTGTACACATACTTGTGTTAGTGTCGTTACATGGGTGTACACATACTTGTGTTAGTGTCGTTACATGGGTGTACACATACTTGTGTTAGTGTCGTTACATAGGTGTACACATACTTGTGTTAGTGTCGTTACATGGGTGTACATGTAGATGTGTTAGTGATGTGTATGATAACGCCGCTTTGAACAGTATTTCAGTTATATCACGTGTGTCTGCTTAATGTGGGAGGAAAGCCCGAACTGATGCAAGTCTTCATCTTCACCACTTTCGACAACTTCCCGAAAACTTCATTATATGTTGACATCACCTGTATGCTGCTGCTGCTGCTGCTGCTGCTGCTGCTGCTGACGATGATGATCTCCACGCAATACAGACGTCACAGCTCTGCCATAATCTATATCCTATACTAAGCACGTGTGATGCGACCTGTCCATTTCCGTATGACACAGCGATATCGACAACACGAAATACATTCTGGCGAGACACAATCGAACATGGATGCTTCTGGAACAACATTCCGGATTTGGACCCTGTGCTATTTGATCTCTCCAAAGCGGATTGGAGTAAGCGAGATTAGGAGAACAAATAAAAAACGCAGCTTACAATTTGGGCAAGAGTAGGAATCAGGTTCATCAGAAATGGAAAAACCTCAGCGCCCTAGCTTGTCTTGGTCGCTGTATGAAGTCATTGTGGCTTTTTGTGGTTGCTATAGAAACTATGACGTCATCAAATCCTTAACCGTCCTAATCTAATAAATCTATAAGATTCCCTCGCGGAAGGTATACCGGTATGATAGATCCCACCCTTTTCTAGATTGTATATTACGGATAAATACGTTCATGTGAACATTTCTTATTATTATAATAAACAGATTGTAAAAGGAATTATTCAGCATTAGCAATAGGCACGCGGACACCATAATTGCACGTGGTGTTTAAAGCACCATGGATACAAATGTTCTGCGGGGTAAACAACAGTGAAAGGAAATCGGTAATTGCTTGTAAACTTTATTTTTGATTGTTGTTTATCGTGACATTGAAGTATCACGGCATGTTTTCCCATTCCCGCAAGGTGCTATCTCTTTGAATTTGGTCGTAATCAATATGGTAGAGCCAGAAGACGAAGGGGGATTACTGAGCGAGCCATTAACAGACGTGGCGTATTACCAGCATGACAGCGTCAAACAGCGCCTTGCAGCCAAGTCGTCAGTAAACCGGGGGGGGGGGGGGAGGAGAGAAGAAGGGATAATAGGATAACAGTAATAACATATCTACCTTGGGACGTCAATAGAAGATTAATGTATGTTATATATAATATGAATTCTATTCTGTGATTTTGTGACCAAAGTATGTATTAGTCTTTCATCTATTTTCTTCATATGGGATGCAGTGCACGACGGGTGTTTGGATATGCCATGGGTGAGGACTAGGGAGCTTTTTTTCAGAATAAATTCAACATGACCTGTTTGTTCGTTTCGCCACGCTCAGCAGTAGTCCCGCTATATGAGGGCGGTCTATAAATATTCGAATATGGACCAGAAAATCCAGTGATCAATATTGTGAGCAACGAACCACGCCATTTGGGTACGAGTACACGCAATCAACCAAATCACCGAGTCTGACCACCCGATTCATTTCGTCGCTTCTAACGGCCAGCACGCAGAAAGTGAGTGTTTCACAGTGGAGCGATGTGGAAGAAATATTGTGTTGTGATTTAAGGTCGCAGCATGCATCCTGAACAGTTCATAGTGATGTATCACTCCCACAATGTGGGCTAGTGGTTGGAGCGTTCTCTCCTCGCGCACAGGTTGCATTTCTCTCAAATATATTACATACATTATTTGAATTCACATACTGAAGTTTCCACACATACCCTCAATGCATTGTTGTTGAAATGGGGGGAAATGATCAGCACTGATATAGTCTATACAATAGTATTATGTTCGACCCGTGATGATCCGGGTTAGAGCTGGTCGTAAGAGGCGACTAACGGATCGGGTGGTCAGCATCGCTGACTTTGTTGACTCATGTCTTCGTATCCCCATTGCTTAGATCGATGCTCATGATGTCAGTCAGAGGATTGTATGGTCCAAATTCGATTTTTAGACCACCGTCATATAGCTGGAACATTGCTGAGTGCGGCGTCAAACAAACATATATCTCCACAGGTAACCATGACACGCATTCTGCAAAACCACAGAGCCCCATCACCCCCATCTCAATTTGAGCCGGCTCTCGCATGTACGAGGTACTTCGGACCTGATCTGACCAGGAATCCCGACAGGAAGTAATTAATAGTGTGTGTAATAATTGTCCTATGTATTTAACTAAACTTTTTATCAGTATTTCAGTTACATTATGGGGGCTGTGGGTCGTTGCTCATAATATGAATCATTGGATTGTCTGGTCCAGACTCGTCCTATAGCTGGAATATTGTGTGAATTCTATAACTCTATCTTTTGGGCATCCAGGAAATGGATCTATGAAGTGATTTCTCAGTCTGAATCAGACAATGCATAAACTGATAGACAACTGATTCCTCAACGTTAAACTACCTGTGAAGATCCTGGTTAGAATAGGTCTTCAGCAAGCCATGCTTGCCGTAAAAGGCGACTATGATTGTCATAAGAGGCGGCTAACGGGACCGGGTTATCGGGCTCGCTGACTTGGTTGATGCATGTCATCGTATTCCAATTGCGTGGATTAATGCTCATGATATCAATCACTGAAATATCTGGTCCAGACTCAATTACCTACAGACCGCCGTCTTAAAGCTGGAATAATGCTGAGTGCTGTGTTAAACAAACAAATAAACAATGCCAACCATCCAAAACAATTACTCAAAGACAATAAAGCTATTAAGAGTATTACGTTTATTGATACATTTATGTAAAATAATGCGAGACACAATCACCTCTGGCAGTGAAAATGGAATGTTTAGAAAAGAGAGCAAAATCCAGCTGCCATCCAACAGCATACAGCTGATCAACAAACACACACACACACACACACACACACACCTTGTCAACAGACACACATAGTCAGCACATGCACCTGGCAGACAGACAGTCAACACACACCTGGAACAAACCTGTCAACACACACAAACCTGGCAGACACACCTGGTCAACACATGCACCTGGCAGACACCTGGTCAACACATGCACCTGCCAGACAGTCAACACACACACACACACCTGGAATAAACCTGTCAACACACACACACCTGGTCAACACACACACACACACCTGGTCAACACATGCACCTGACGGACAGACAGTCAACACACACACCAGGTCAACACACACACCAGGAACAAACCAGGAACACACCTTATCAACACACAAACCTGGAACCCAGCTGGTCAATACACACACACCTGGAACACAGCAGGTCAACACGCACACACCGGGAAAACAGCTGGTCAACACGCACAGAACTGGAACACAGCTGGTCAACACGCATACAACTGGAACACAGCAGGTCAACACACACACACAACTGAACACAGCAGGTCAACACGCACACACCTGGAACACAGCAGGTCAACACGCACATGCCTGGAACACAGCTGGTCAACACACACAACTGGACCACAGCTGGTCAACAAGCAACCCTGGAACACAGCTGGTCAACACGCACACAACTGGAACACAGCTGGTCAACACGCACACACCTGGAACACAGCTGGTCAACACGCACACAACTGGAACACAGCAGGTCAACACGCACACAACTGGAACACAGCTGGTCAACACGCACCCCTGGAACACAGCTGTCAACACGCACCCCTGGAACACACCTGTCAACACGCACACCCCTGCAACACAGCAGGTGAACACTAAAAGATAGCTGTGGCTACTGTATCTCTGTGCTGCCTCCTTGATTTGTCTTGTCACTACAGGGCTGTTCCATAGTGTTTTCCAAACAGACTCACAATTTGGAACATACTGCCCTCATAACCCTGCCATAATGTACATGATCCTACAAAAACTGCAACAAGATTTGCTTCATAAAACACTTGGCTTCAAAGATGTGTACTTGTTTTTTCGATTATGCAAATTTCTATGTACCATACTTATCAGGTTGGAATCATAAAAAAATACAGATTTTTAGACCCACTAGCGACTAAAAAGTCTTTACCAGTCTGGTTTTCAACTTGATAAGTAAATATATTGTTGAACCATTTAGTATATCCTCATTTGTGATGGCAAGTGTCTTAGGAAATGAATTGTTGTATTTGTCGTTAAGATCGTGACGCATACACTTTGCTGAAGCACATAAAGTGTGATGCAGATTTGGAGCAGAGATCTATTTAGAAAAAAACATGGCACAGTCCATAGCTCTGTGTAGCGACAAGTCAAAATACAAAATCACTTTTAGGGAGCAGCACAGAGATACAGTTACAGCAGCTAATCCGGCAGACAGCTGGTCAACACACACACACACCTGGTAGAAATTCTCCCCCTCCCCCAAATCCCCAACCACCTTGAATATGTTGGATCCCTAATGTCAGCGTTCTTGTACTAGAGGTGTGATGAACACAATAATATTAACCCAATAACATCTTTTACTTGATAAACAAATGTGAGAGGTGTCTTCAGATTCAACTGAATAACCTCCAAACTTCAGCAATAGCTTCAAAGTTAATGTACTGTCCAGCGTGTAGGGCAAACAACTAACATGGTGTGACGTCTGCAAGCTATGCCCCGAGTCTGCCGACAGTGGACAGCACCTCGTGGAGCACCATCCCTCCTCAGAATCAGCACAATGGTCAGGCTGCTCATTCAACTGGTCATCTGTCTGCATCATTTCTCTTTAACTATGTTACATTCATTACCATATTTGGCATATGATAAGGAATACACACATATTGCAAGACTTAGAATGTCTGACATCTTAACTGGATACACATCCCTATATTCAGGACAGTCTTGATGTTACTATATCTACAGATATGATAATACTCTTCATATACAGGGCAATATCACGCTTGTAACTTTGGCATCAAAAACGTTTTTAACTATACATTTCATTAAAATGTGTAAATAAACTTTCACAAACAATACATGTTTCATATAAACAATTTATAATTTCTTCTCACTGTCCTGTTCACACCTACTTAAATCATTACCGATTAGGTTCTCTTCAGGAAAGGTGTTTCTATTATTACACATAGATGTTGTATGGATATAAAACATGGTTTCAGCCAATAATAGCAAGGCCACTGAGTCTGCCATTAAGACTGTAGCACAGCCACTGAGTCTGCCATTAAGACTGTAGCACAGCCACTGAGTCTGCCATTAAGACTGTAGCAGCAGGAACACTTGAATACTGGATGGTGCATCTACAGCAAGACTTGTGTAGCTGATGATCATCCTGTTACAATGACACAGATATCTCCGGACAGACCATTGTAACTGAATCAAGTATTGAATGGCCTCAAAATGTACTATCAGAAGACATCAATTGATGGCTGCATGAACTAGGGGTGTCAGTGACTGGACAGTTCAGTACAGGCATGGTGCTGACAAACGAATCAGGGTGATTCTGGATTCCAACCCACGATCATAGGTTATGGGCATGCCCAAAGAATGCAACTCTGCACAGCAAACTGCGGCTCTTTAGGTGACTGGGCCAATCCTATCACTCAAAAGTATCACAATACTGATTAATGATAAAATTATTTATTCTGTATGGGTATAGATAGAAATTACCTGCATGGACCTGCAAGTTCAATGCTAATTATGAACTAGGACGATCCATTAAATGTTTCAAATTAAATTTTCTGCCTTCTCATTGTCCATCTTAACCATGGAAATCTTAATAAATGTCAATATTTCTGTGGCAGTGAATTATTTATTTAGTATCAACATTAAGAAAATTGTATTGAAACGTCATCCATATTCAACATTTACCAATACATCGATACCAATACATCGATATCGTGACATACGACATCCCTAGCAAACAGGCAGCATGTCATGCTCCTAGTGGCGTCTTCAAGGCTTCCTGTCACAGGTTGTGTGTAATAACAGTCCAAGAAAACTACCTGTACAATACCCTACATTGAAATGAGCCACAATCATCATTCACTTCAGCATCACCACTGATCTTTATTGGCAGTAAGTAAAGCTCCCAGTGGGTCAAGTACTGTCAGATTCGTTGTTTATAACCAGAAACTCTCCATGCAAATACTCTCAAGGTTTCACTGTCAGTTGTAAAAATGCTGAAATAATTCAACTCTACAGAATGAGTCGGTATATATATTAACCCATGTAACTCCTCAGCGGTGCTGGGTCATGCTCATGATTCTGGTACTGAAACAATGCAAATACAAAGCAACAATAATAATTGTAACATTCTAATAGCTCCACCAACCACAACTAAATAACAGCAGACAGGAATGTCACAGTTAAATCTGCAGGATCAGGTAACAAAACTAATGTCTCAACAGCAAGGACAGCCAGAACATACCCAGACAGAGAATGAATGTACTTCTCCACAACACCCTGACCTGCCCTCCCTTGTATACATATACCAGATGTCTAGCGTGATGCCCTCCCTTGTATACATATACCAGATGTCTAGCGTGATGCCCTCCCTTGTATACATATACCAGATGTCTAGCGTGATGCCCTCCCTTGTATACATATACCAGATGTCTAGCGTGATGCCCTCCCTTGTATACATATACCAGATGTATAGCGTGATGCCCTCCCTTGTATACATATACTAGATGTCTAGCGTGATGCTCCCTTGTATACATATACCAGATGTCTAGCGTGATGCCCTCCCTTGTATACATATACCAGATGTCTAGCGTGATGCCCTCCCTTGTATACATATACCAGATGTATAGCGTGATGCCCTCCCTTGTATACATATACCAGATGTCTAGCGTGATGCCCTCCCTTGTATACATATACCAGATGTCTAGCGTGATGCCCTCCCTTGTATACATATACCAGATGTCTAGCGTGATGCCCTCCCTTGTATACATATACCAGATGTATAGCGTGATGCCCTCCCTTGTATACATATACTAGATGTCTAGCGTGATGCCCTCCCTTGTATACATATACCAGATGTCTAGCGTGATGCCCTCCCTTGTATACATATACCAGATGTATAGCGTGATGCCCTCCCTTGTATACATATACCAGATGTCTAGCGTGATGCCCTCCCTTGTATACATATACCAGATGTATAGCGTGATGCCCTCCCTTGTATACATATACCAGATGTCTAGCGTGATGCCCTCCCTTGTATACATATACCAGATGTATAGCGTGATGCCCTCCCTTGTATACATATACCAGATGTCTAGCGTGATGCCCTCCCTTGTATACATATACCAGATGTATAGCGTGATGCCCTCCCTTGTATACATATACCAGATGTATAGCATGATGCCCTCCCTTGAATATACCAGATGTATAGCGTGATGCCCTCCCTTGTATACATATACCAGATGTATAGCGTGATGCCCTCCCTTGTATACATATACCAGATGTATAGCATGATGCCCTCCCTTGAATATACCAGATGTATAGCGTGATGCCCTCCCTTGAATATACCAGATGTCTAGCGTGATGCCCTCCCTTGAATATACCAGATGTATAGCGTGATGCCCTCCCTTGAATATACCAGATGTCTAGCGTGATGCCCTCCCTTGTATACATATACCAGATGTATAGCGTGATGCCCTCCCTTGTATACATATACCAGATGTATAGCGTGATGCCCTCCCTTGAATATACCAGATGTATAGCGTGATGCCCTCCCTTGTATACATATACCAGATGTATAGCGTGATGCCCTCCCTTGTATACATATACCAGATGTATAGCGTGATGCCCTCCCTTGTATACATATACCAGATGTCTAGCGTGATGCCCTCCCTTGAATATACCAGATGTCTAGCGTGATGCCCTCCCTTGTATACATATACCAGATGTATAGCGTGATGCCCTCCCTTGAATATACCAGATGTCTAGCGTGATGCCCTCCCTTGTATACATATACCAGATGTATAGCGTGATGCCCTCCCTTGTATACATATACCAGATGTAGAGCGTGATGCCCTCCCTTGTATACATATACCAGATGTATAGCGTGATGCCCTCCCTTGAATATACCAGATGTCTAGCGTGATGCCCTCCCTTGTATACATATACCAGATGTCTAGCATGATGCCCTCCCTTGTATACATATACCAGATGTATAGCGTGATGCCCTCCCTTGTATACATATACCAGATGTATAGCGTGATGCCCTCCCCTGTATACATATACCAGATGTATTGCGTGATGCCCTCCCTTGAATATACCAGATGTATAGCGTGATGCCCTCCCTTGTATACATATACCAGATGTATAGCGTGATGCCCTCCCTTGTATACATATACCAGATGTAGAGCGTGATGCCCTCCCTTGTATACATATACCAGATGTAGAGCGTGATGCCCTCCCTTGAATATACCAGATGTCTAGCATGATGCCCTCCCTTGTATACATATACCAGATGTATAGCGTGATGCCCTCCCTTGTATACATATACCAGATGTATAGCGTGATGCCCTCCCTTGAATATACCAGATGTATAGCGTGATGCCCTCCCTTGAATATACCAGATGTATAGGGTGATGCCCTCCCTTGAATATACCAGATGTCTAGCGTGATGCCCTCCCTTGTATACATATACCAGATGTATAGCGTGATGCCCTCCCTTGAATATACCAGATGTCTAGCGTGATGCCCTCCCTTGAATATACCAGATGTCTAGCGTGATGCCCTCCCTTGTATACATATACCAGGAGATGTATAGCGTGATGCCCCACTATATTATCGTGGTAATTAATTATGATGGATCATAATGGCGAATGCTTACCAACATATTAAATATGTCACACGCAAAATGTTTCTTGTTCCCCCAGTGACTATTTCCTGTTCCGGCAAATGAAATCTGCCCTACGTGGAAGACGCTTCCAGGATGACAAGGACATAAAGGCTGCCACAGAGGCATGGTTAGAGGGCCAATCTGCGGATTTCTATAAAAGTGGTAGTAAAAGCTTAAGGACAAATGGAATAAGTGTATTGAGATGAATGGAGATTATATTGAAAAATAAAAGTGCAAAAGATATTCTGCGACTTGGTCTTATATTGAAGTTGCAAAACTTATTGAACACCCCTCATACCAGGATAGATATAGGTTGATTCCCTCCCTTGCATATAGCAGGATATGGACAGGGTGAGACACAGAGTGGGCATAACAAGGGGTACTGTACCTCGTGTGGGACATTATGGCTTCAGTAATCCTTACAGGACCCAAAGAATGAGTGCAACTAACCAATGAATGACTGATACAACACACTCCCATTTACAATGCTAAGAGGATTTGATCACTTTTATGTCAACTGTGTTTATCCAGCAAATAATATCTCCATTCTATCTTGATAAATAATATGATACATAACGTGATAAATAGTGTGGTTTGAATGGCATCATGCTGAGAATAGATGTTCCATTAAATTACAAAGTTCTTTCACCTCATCTCGGAATGCCTGATGGGACACACATGGACATCTTTTCAAGCCAACAATATTCTGATTTGATTGAAAATATTGATTGTTCGCTTGTACAAGGTCCCAATTTTGAATATATATTTTGAATAGCTCTAAGCCAAACTTTCATACAGGAGAGTCATTTAGAATGGTTGTTGATTGATGAGGCAGGGACTTGGGTCAAGCTGGTGCTTACCTGGTAGAAGTTTTGAGACAGCAAGATCACCTCCATAGTAACTGGACATAGGGTATTTACCTTCACAGAACTGAGATATAATACAATGGATAGTCGAGGTGAACTGACTCACACCACAGTACACTACACACAATTCTGAAACACATACACATGTAAAACGCTAAAACTATGGATAAAACTAATAGAAAACAGCAATGGATAAAACAAACAAATACAACTAAATCATGATAAATGTTAAAAAAGACATTGTCCTTTAAATGTTTTCTTAAAATAGATGTTAGTCAGTGATCTGCATAAGGGAGGTAACTGAGATACCTGAGACCAATCTGGACATTCTGGGAACTGTGTCAAGTAGCATTTCATCAATATCTCCTACATTATTTATTACACAGCCAACAGCTGATGGGTACAACAGCAGCAGCATTTTGATTAGTTTCTCAACTTGACAAAGTCAAGGGTGTGTACATTAGGACACACTGTGTTCATATACTGAGAAAGAAGAGGCATTCTTGTACCAAGTGTTCCAGTCATGGCACAGTTGTTGTTTTCTATTCTACCAGTCATGCACCATATTGCTGCAAATTGCTGCTCCATAAGGTCAGTTGCAGATCACTTGTACATTCATACAAACTGACCTCTACACGTTATGACAAACCTCGGGACTTGTATACATAGGGTCTTCAAAAAAATATCCCCCAAAATATTTTAATGATCTCAAACTGTTTTTGTTCAGTATAGATAACCAATAGGAAAACTGACCACAAAATCTGAAACATACAGGGTACTTTGATTTCTTAACAAAAACTAAATATTCTGAAACCACATGCTAACAGGAGACACCAGCAACACTGTGAGCTGACTTGGGGGCTGATGGAGACTGATAGCTGACCATGGACACCAAACATACACCAGCCATCTACAGCCACCACAACAAAGATGAAATATGCTTAGGGCTGTCATACAGTAATAATGTTAATGAACATGTGAAGATGGCAGAATGATTTTGTGTAAGTTGTAAGCACCAAATATCATCTTGATATGACTTAAATGAAGCATGTAAAACAAGTTTGTGTAAAACAGATTCAAAATGATTTCATAACCTAAAATTCAGATCCAAGATAAAACTGTCAAACACACACAAAGCACCTGTCAGCAATTGCTGTAAACCCCGTTGTTAGTCCACACCATACTTTCAGATAACAGGCAATGAACTGGATGTAAAATATCACACTGCATTTCTTTCAGTTGCTGCAAAGGTATCCTGCCATTATCATACTGGGTCTTGAGCCAAGGCACTCCCCTAGACGCTCCCCTAGACACTCCAACCCATCTGCACAATATATATCATCATACTGGGTCTTGAGCCAAAGCACTCCCCTAGACACTCCAACCCATCTGTACAATATATTATCATACTGGGTCTTGAGCCAAGGCACTCCCCTAGACACTCCAACCCATCTGTACAATATATTATCATACTGGGTCTTGAGCCAAGGCACTCCCCTAGACACTCCAACCCATCTGCACAATATATATCATCATACTGGGTCTTGAGCCAAGGCACTCTCCCCTAGACACTCCAACCCAGCACAGTACTAGTAGTCTAGTACACGCAGCAGTGGGGGCCACAACATGTCTTGTCTACATTCTGATTAAACTTATCCACTGCCGATGCCGGGGAAGAAGAAAAGGTGTGGCTTCCGGAGGGTGCTCTTGTACTCCGACATCTGTGTCATGCGGTCCATGTCAATCTGTGGACAACGGGACACCTTCCTTGACACCAGGTGGTTCACCTGAAAGTAATTAGTCTCATCTTCATATTCAACATTCAACAAGTTATTCATGGTAATGCAGGCCCACTTGCACTGAACAACCAACGTTAGGCACTGAACCACAGAACCACAGCAAGTTAGTCACTAGATCTATACTCACACGAATACCATACATGTTGGTTAATATAGGAAGAATTACTTATATTCACGAGATATCAGAGCGCGTCACATGTGACGTCATAGATCCATGACTCGAGATGCACCAATTGTCACCCCCAGGAAAAGTGTGTACAGTTTGGAAATCTCGTGCACCATATCGTGATAAGAATAAAGACACTATGGTAACATTTGACGGTTTGTATGTAACTTTTGTCATTAAGCAACACATTGGAAACATCTCGTCTTTATAATTCTCTATATGTTTCTACGGTTCACATTTCTTTTGGCTGTGAGTATATTTACTAGGACCTACATAAGTCACACATGCTCATGATATTAATCACTGGATTCTCTGAGCCGAGCTGATTATTTACAGGCCGCAGCATTAAACAACAACCACACAACAAACAACAAGCTGCTCCCCTAGTCGTACTACTCACCCGGTTCAGCATGGTACAGATGTCCTCATTCTTCGCGTGCCTCATGAAGATCTGCACAATGGCCTCAATGTACCAGCTTCCCCGTTCACGATTGCGCCATGCATAGTAACCTGCCCACATCAAACATTAGACAGTCAACTTGGGTACCATAGTAACCTGCCCACATCAAACATTAGACAGTCAACTTGGGTACCATAGTATCCTGCCCACATCAAACATTAGACAGTCAACTTGGGTACCATAGTAACCTGCCCACATCAAACATTAGACAGTCAACTTGGGTACCATAGTAACCTGCCCACATCAAACATTAGACAGTCAACTTGGGTACCATAGTATCCTGCCCACATCAAACATTAGACAGTCAACTTGGGTACCATAGTAACCTGTCCACATCAAACATTAGACAGTCAACTTGGGTACCATAGTAACCTGCCCACATCAAACATTAGACAGTCAACTTGGGTACCATAGTAACCTGTCCACATCAAACATTAGACAGTCAACTTGGGTACCATAGTAACCTGCCCACATCAAACATTAGACAGTCAACTTGGGTACCATAGTAACCTGCCCACATCAAACATTAGACAGTCAACTCAGGTACCATAGTAACCTGTCCACATCAAACATTAGACAGTCAACTTGGGTACCATAGTAACCTGCCCACATCAAACATTAGACAGTCAACTTGGGTACCATAGTAACCTGTCCACATCAAACATTAGACAGTCAACTTGGGTACCATAGTAACCTGCCCACATCAAACATTAGACAGTCAACTTGGGTACCATAGTAACCTGCCCACATCAAACATTAGACAGTCAACTTGGGTACCATAGTAACCTGCCCACGTCAAACATTAGACAGTCAACTTGGGTACCATAGTAACCTGCCCACATCAAACATTAGACAGTCAACTCAGGTACCATGTGTCCTTGGCAAGCTTTGAATAATCATACAACACAGACTCATCATCCAATCAAAGCTCAGATCTTCACAAAGTCTGCAGAGCGGCAGCAGCAACGTCTCGGTTCATTGCCTACTGTAAGTATAAACCACCTTAACACAGGTTGAATGAATAGAGCAAGAATTCCTGACCTGACTTATGAATAAATAGTTTTAAGAATTAGTTTTATGACGTTTACACATTTTTACAATGGCAAACATCTGTATGAAGACAGGTTTACTAGAATCATTAGCCATTTTGAATAGAAATTGGATCATGGGGTGTGTTGACTGAATATTCTCAGTGAGATATTCTTATTGTTACCATATGGTAACAAATATACATGTGTGGTATCACCACAGTAATAAGGTATTCTAGTGATTCCAACATTATCACTCAGTAAGTACAACATATCCTACCAAAACCATGCATTATTGGCATTAATGTAAAATAAAAAGGGACATTAAAAGCTATGTTACGATATAACAGCGACGTATAAACACCTTTGGTTGCTTTTTTGCAACAATGTCGAGCATGCCCAAAGTTGAATGCAGACATGAAGCCTAAAGCAACATACAATTTCTCCATCATATGGTCATTATCATCGACACATTACAGCTAACTGCAACCTACTGGGGTGTGGGGCACTGATGATAACATGTCAGTCCTAACCACATTGTGTGGTATATTTACATTTGAGTGTACTGGAAGTGACCTCTGAACTTGACTACGTGTGCGCATGCGTGAGCGGAAGCTGAGGGGTAGATGGGAAAAATCAGAGAGGAAGCAGCGTGTTTACGCATGGCGGGGATTTGACATGAACTGTCAGTGGTGTGTTGAGTGAGAGAAGGACTAACCAGGGCCAACAGTGGAAAGGGCCATAAAGGTAATTAACATTGGTAGCAGAGCGTGGTTGCGGGAAAACGGGACTAGCAATATGGCACATGGTTACAAGAATCCCCTGACTTTGACAAATGAGATGGAATATGAGACGTGGAAAAACGAACTTGAAATATGGTGTCACATGACCGAGGTTGTAGAGGAAAAACAGGCACTCACAGTCTCACTGGGATCACTTACGGGACAAGCAAGGGCAAAAGCAGTGGCAATTGATGTGAAAGACTTGAATTCCAAAACGGGTTTGAAAATTCTTGTCAAAGCACTTGATGAACTTTATACATCAAGACACTGGAGATCAAGTCTGTGCGAAAGTTCTTAGCAGAGCAGAAAAGGCAACAGGCAAAAACAGGAGCTGGTACAACTTAGAATTCACGAATTCTGAAATGCAAGGTATAAGTCAGTCAGTTGATTTGTCCAGTGTAGAAGATTAGCGGATCATCCCCTGTGAAATCATGGAGGAAAACATCATGATGACAGAAGATGTTTCATGGACTAAACCCAAGCTAACTGAACTTGATAACTGGAAGAACAAGTTTTTGTCACAGAGTGACGAAATATCCCCCGCCTGTACACCATACTACCAAATATGAAGACAATCCAGCGATTAGTTCTTGAGATATCGCGGCAACACCGTTTTCTAACTCCAAAAGCAGATTTGCCTGCTGTGACCTTGACAATGGGGTCAAGGTCACCAAAACCGACTGGTGTCTGCGGTGTCTGTATATACACCATAGTTCCAAATATGAAGACAATCCAGTGTTTAGTTCTTGAGATATCGCTGCAACACCGTTTTCCAACTCCAAAAGCAGATTTGCCTGCTGTGACCTTTAAAATGGGATCAAGGTCACCAAAACCGACTGGTGTCTGCGGAGTCTGTATATACACCATAGTTCCAAATATGAAGACAATCCAGTGTTTAGTTCTTGAGATATCGCGGCAACACCGTTTTCCAACTCTAAAAGCAGATTTGTCTGCTGTTACCTTGAAAATGGGATCAAGGTCACCAAAACCGACTGGTGTCTGCAGTGTCTGTATATACACCATAGTTCCAAATATGAAGACAATCCAGTGTTTAGTTCTTGAGATATCGCGGCAACACCGTTTTCCAACTCTAAAAGCAGTTTTGTCTGCTGTGACCTTGAAAATGGGATCAAGGTCACCAAAACCGACTGGTGTCTGCGGAGTCTGTATATACACCATAGTTCCAAATATGAAGACAATCCAGTGTTTAGTTCTTGAGATATCGCGGCAACACCGTTTTCCAACTCCAAAAGCAGATATGCCTGCTGTGACCTTGAAAATGGGGTCAAGGTCACCAAAACCGACTGGTGTCTGCGGAGTCTGTATATACACCATAGTTCCAAATATGAAGACAATCCAGTGTTTAGTTCTTGAGATATCGCGGCAACAAACAGGTGGGACGTACGGACGGACGGACGTACGGACGGACGGACGGACGGTCGTGAATACTATATCCCCCGCTTCGCGCTTTCGCGCGGCGGGGGACAAAAATGGAGTTTACAAAGAAGTTGTCGATGATGGGCAAAGATGTGTGTCAACCATGTGGGTCTGTACACTTAAAGAAACACCAGAGAAAATAATACCTAAGGCAAGGTTAGTTGCCCGAGGTTTTGAAGAAGGTGAGAATACGGACATTCAAAAAGATTCCCCAACATGTGCTAAAGAATTGCTGAAACTTATCTTGGCAGTATTTTGTCAGAAAAAATGGAAACCTCATTCAATGGATATTAAAACTGCGTTTCTTCAAGGTGAAGAGATGAAGAGAGACGCATACATTAGACCTCCAAAAGAAGCAAACATACCTGGAAAACTCTGGCATCTTCAGAAGTGTGTCTATGGACTAAGTGATGCATCACTACATTGGTATCAGAAGGTCAAGTCAGTCATGTTAAAACTAGGAGCTAAGGTATTGAGAGTTGACCCAGCAGTATTTTTCTGGGAAGGACAAGATCAAGAAACTGTTGGAATTTTGGCATGTCATGTTGATGACTTTATTTGAGGTGGATCTGCAGAATTCAGATCAAATGTAATGGAATCTGTGAGATCATACTTCAAGGTAGGAAAAGAAGAAAACCAAGCTTTTCAATACTTGGGAATGAACTTACCTTACCAGGACGGACACATTTTCTTACATCAACAGAAATATGCAGAAAGCCTTAACTTTGTCCAGATTGATAAATCTAGATCCGCTCAGAAATCTTTACCCCTGAACGATATTGAGAAGCAAGATAGGACAAATACTGTGGATAGCTAAACAGAGTCGTCCTGATGTTATATTTGATGCTTGCCGACTAGCAGCATGTGTGAAGGATGCCAAAGTTGAACATCTTTTGACAGCAAACAAGATTATTAGGAAGATTAAGTCAGAACATGTCAACTTGAAATTTCAGAATGTAGGAAAGGAACTTTCACTTGTAGTTTTCAGTGATGCTTCGTTAGGAAACCTGCCCGATGGAGGCACACAGGGTGGACACATGATTTTCCTCACAGGCAGTACAGGAAAGGTGACACCTTTATGTTGGAACTCGAAGAAGATTCGTCGGGTGGTGCGAAGCACACTGGCTGGTGAAACTTGGAAACTTATTGATACAGGAGTGTACCTATCAATGTTGTTTGGAGAACTGAGTGGTGAGAAACACAACAGAATGACATTGACCTGTATCACTGACTCTTAATCACTGTATGATGCTCTAAAATCCACTAAACCTGTTGGTTTGAAGACATGCCAAAGAGGGAACAGATAACGGAAACGCATCTTGCTTCGCGGAAAAAAGTATTGCATGGCACAGGCTGTCCGAGCACGTGCGGAGCGAGGAGATCGGAATTGATTGAGTTAACCCTTTCGCCCCGACTGCCCGATTTTTTTTAGCAAAAACCATGTCCCAGTACCCGGCTGCCCGATAAATTCGATGAGGTGTCTCCCCCCCCCCCCCCACCCCCCGCCAACTTTCAAGAATGGGAGTGGCAGAGTGACCACAACGGTGGAGACATGAGGGATTTTGAAGAGGCGACTGGACTCAAGAATACTTATTGACACGGTGAGTGAAGAGTCATGCTATTGATTTTTTCCAACTGTTTTACAATGATTCTGTGTTTGAACAGATTATCAGGGTGACGAATGAGAATGCAGCCTACACGTGAACGAGCGATCACAACAACAACAAAGGTGAGTGGCATGACGTATCTCTTTCTTTTTTTAAAAATTTATTTTTCTGATCGCAATCCGAATTGTAGTTTGCC